TTGTTCCCTACAGTCCTCAGTGACCCATAAAGATCTTCACTTGCTAATTACTGCTCCACCACTGGGCTGGCAATGAATGTCAGCCTGGTGTTCCCACCACAGAGCTGCCAGATAAACACTGTTGTAGAGCAGTCCAACCATTGGTTTTGGTCCTAAAGGAGGATATAAAACTGTAAATGCCACAAAACATCAAAGGACAGAAAGGACACACTTGTCTCACTCAACTGTCATCATCTCCTGATCAGCTCCACCAGTTAAATGCTGATATATTGTCTATGGAGTTGTGGTGATATTAAATGGCCATTGACAGATTAAATGGCCATTGCCAAAGGATATCTTCTAAAGTCCCCTCACAAAACACTTTGTATGAATCAAAGGTATCCAAAGAGGATGTATCTTTTCTGCTTTTGGGTTATTTACTTCATTTCTGTCACAGTAAAAAACCTTCACTGCATGGAACTTCTCAATACACAATGGAAAGACCAGTACGTCCAACAAGAGTTAAAATTAAGACACCCCACAAAAGGGTAGACGCGTGCATCTTGCAGCCTGACTCTCTGGGTCTCCACCACTAAGTAACATAAAGAACAAAGAAGAATTATGAGAACTATCTGAAGAAAGCCAAGCCAGCAGATAGCAACTAATGGGACAGCCTGAAATCCAGCCACCGCAGCCACCTAACAAAAAATCTGGAAATTTTGCAAAACTCTAGAAATACACAATTATTTGGCTGTTGAAGGGTCTGCTGCCCACCTAGAGGTGCTCAGCGTGCTGAAACATGGAATTGGTTTGTCTTGGAGGGAATTAAACAGGTCCTGGGAAGAGACAGGCATGTCTGCTGCCTGTGAAAGGGACAGCACTGTGCCCAGTGGAGGTTTGGGTATGATGACCTTAAATCACAAATATTAATGGGATCAAGAAATTCCTCTGCAGAGACATCAGCAATATGAACACACTTGGATTTTTAAAATGCAGTGGAAGAAAAGTCCTAAAAATTCATCTTTGTAGTTTACAGGGCTTTTTTAACAGCTGCCTGGGAGCACTGATCCTAATTGGGTTAACACTTGCTTACTTAGAGGAGCCTTAAAGTAGAGTAATAACTCATCACATCAGCAATGAATGCAAGAAATGACTTCAAGAGACTCAACACAGTAAACAACAGCTGCTCGATCCTTACAAGTTCCTGCAGAGGTGAGCATGATACCTTTCAAAAGGTATCTTGAGCCTGCCTGTGTAATGAAAAAGGTGTCTTCAGCCTTGTCTTGGCCACAGTCACCACTACTAGGCTTGGGCATCTGTAGACCATACCATATGTTAGAGATGTCCTTTACCTGCATGCATGTGCTGCCTCCCCAATTATTTGCCTCTTATTCACACATTTTCCCCTCTTCCCCTTCCCCCTCCGGGACTCAGAGTGCAGTCAACACCCGCTGCAGAAACCCTCACCTGTCTTGGGTCCCATGCGACCCCACTTTCTCGTTCTTCATGCAGAAATCGGGTGAGCTCTGCAGGTAAATCAGCTCTGTCTCTTTAACCGGCCTGATATCAATATCCTTTGGCACGAGGTATTTGCGTGTGCCCATGGGCCGGTGAACGACCTTGGTGGCTGATAAATACTTGTTTTTGAGGTCCAATGCAATGTCTCGCAGCTCTTGAAGGCCTTTCCAACAGGTCTTGATAGAGCATGACCCAGAAACTCCATGGCACTTACATTTCATTTCAAGAGAGGCTTTCAAGACCTGCAAAAAGGAATGCAGGAGTTAGGAAATGCCCTTCTCTTACCTCTAAACATCCCACAAGCACTTTCTTAGCTGGGACTGCTATAGAAAATGACTGCTGCTCTGATTTCTGCACAGTCACTCTAGAGTAGCTACTGTGCGAAGGGAATGAGATCCCACAGCTCCTTGGTGATCACTATCAGCGCAGGGCTGCTTTCAGCAAGGCACCTTTGCAGCCAGCAGACAGAAGAGTATTTTGAAATTTGATCAGATATCTACATAGGGCTGCATTTCCACCCTCTAAATTCCTGAGGAGCTGAAAATCAAAGCAATCCATAAATAGAAAATTAACATCCATTTCTGCCTCCAACAGCTTTGGGCCTTGGGTAACAGATGTCAAGGCTCTGATGAATTCAGGGCACCCTCACCCTGCCTTTCTGCTGGCCATGGGGCAAAAAGAGCCTTTTACTTTGGTTCTGCACTAGTCTCATTTCTGTAGGACATGGCAGGATGCTGCCAGGAAGGGATGAATGCACCAGCCATGGCAACGCTATGTCCCAAGCAAAAATCTGCCCATTGCAATTAAAACAAAACCTCAAGACATTACCAAAAACAAACAAACAAAAAAAAACCAAACCAAAAAACCAACCAAAAAAACCAAACAACAACAAAGAGATAGACTGGGAACGGTAGAGAAAAACACCCAGGGGAGGCAAATTCAGCATGGTTGTGCTCTGCAAAGGTGAGTTCAGCCTGTAGCTACGCAGTCAGCTGCCAATGAACTCAACATGCTCCAAGTTTTATCTGCTCCAGTGCCCAAGTGCCGGCAGCCCTGGAAGGACTAAGCTGTGTGGTAGGACCAGCCTAGGGAACCGCTGCAGCCCCAGAGGTGGGTGCAAGGGTCACTCTTACAGCCCCTTATACTCATTTCTCCAGCTGCATGGAGGGCTGTGATGGGGATTTGCACCTCGGTGCACACCAAGCACTACGCATGGTAAGCATTATCCCTCCACTGGATGCAAGCTGTTAAAAGTGGCTTCTGCCAGATAAGGGAATAATCACTAGCGAAGCAGTCTGAAAAGGAAAAAATCAGCCCTCCTGGCTGCAGGGATGGCTGGGAGGCAGCTGCTGCTGGACACGTCTGGCAGATGATAATCCTCCACGCTTACGCAGCACTTTGCGTGTGCAACGCCCTTGGCAGAGCACAACGAGACCCATCCCCACCACACCTCCTGGGGTAAGCAAGCCAGAGCCATCCTTGGCTGTGGAAAGGGTGGCAATGAGACATCCCACCCACGGTTAGATAGGGCTGATAATAGCATTCAGGACCTCCTGAGTCCCAGCGTGAGTTATGTAGTCACAGTCTTCAGCAGGCCAAAGGAGTTCAGAGCAATCTGGGAGAAACCTGCTCCTTTCGCTAGCTGATAGAGACACTGAACCTCACAGAGCGACCGACTACTACAGATGATTGTACAATTACAATAACTCTCGTGGATTTGTTACCTGTCTCCCTACTTCACTGTTGTGCAGATGCATCAGTTTATTGGCTTGTGATCCTGATTTTTTCATCTTCATGGGAGCATCTGAAAATTTGGACCCCATGATAAGACCATAGTTGAGGTTGTCTGCACATCCTCCCCATCGATACCCAGGTCCAGGTGTCTCACCTGGGATGGGACCACAGGAACAGCCAGGGAGGTCCCCGGTGGTGCAGGCTCTGGCAATGGTGTGGCTGATGGCAGCAGCAGAAAGGGCATACACAAATGCTGACTCCCTTGTACCTGGAAGAGACAAGAGCTCCAGCTCAGCCTCCTAGGACAGCTAAAGGCTCCCCAAAAAGAGACCCACACCATCTGTGTCCTACAGAGCAGCAAACACACCAACTTGCTGCAGCTGAGACCTCCCATGGCATCACCAGCTCGGAGCACATCTCCTAAGTAAGATCTTTAACATGAGGCAACATCCCAGCAGGGCAAGGAGGCACATGGACTTATGCAACTTGTCCTTTGTGCTGTGATCTGCTCTTGGACCATGTGAAGAAGTCCCTCATGGCCTCTTCTGCCTCCTTTCACCCCTGTGCTGGAGGATGCATGCTGGTAGATCATGGAGCTGGCATGCACGGAGCTGAGGGAGGAGATGGGAGGCTGTGAAACTGCAGCACAAGTGTGCAAGGATGCTCTGACCCATGAGAGCTGACTGTACAGCTTCACTCATAGCATGTGCTGCTTGACAAGTCTGCGTGCCCTGAACAGCAGCTCCGTGGCTGTGAGCAAGTGCACCATGACTTCTAATGAGATGAGCAGATCACATTGGTGCCATGCTTTGTAAGAGCTGTGGGAGACCAGGTCTTGGACTCAAGAGCTCCTGGATATGACTGGCACCATAACGATGAACGTGGTTTCAGAGAATAGGACAACTAGGGTATGCAGCCCCTCTGCATCGCCCCTGGCAGCACAACCCTAACCCAGCCCCAGCACACATACACACAACGCTGGCTGACTCTACTCACTCATGTCCCCGGCTGAGCCAGCAGTGCTGTTTACCTCTCTCTAAATCCAGCAGGTAGTTAGGAGCCAGCTCAATGGAAGAGCAGTTCCAACGCATGTCTGAGAAAGTTTTACGGCAGGTCTTTATCACTTCCCGTGCCGCCTGGATGATGGTCTGCATTAGCTCCAGGTTGCTGCGGCACAGCTGCACCTGGGAAACCACCAAGCCTTCGAGCTGCTTGCAGTGCTGGGTTTGATTCAGGGCCAAAGCCGAAGGAGTCTTGGACAGAGCTCTGAGGAGACAAACACATGCAAAAAAGCATTAAAACCCACAAAAAAAGTTAATCTTCAGGTCAATATTAATTTCTCCACTGCCTCCAGTGCAGTGAATGCTTTGGGTCTGTGTTCGTCTTAACTTTAGCTACCTGTAAATAAGTGTTTAGTTTAAGCTGGTGAGAGAGACGGGCAGCTTTTAAGAGTGATTTATCTCATCTAAAGTAGGTGTTTAAGGTAGGTGGGAAGAAACACCCTCCAGAAGTGCGCATTTCTCTCCATCATCTAGGGGAGCCTGGACGAAGCTCCTGGGGCATATGCCAAGTTGACTGAATGTGTAAATCCTTATGGGAAGGGCTTTTGCTAAAGAATGAAGAGGACAGACCTCCCAACAGAGTGAAAAATGGCCCATCAATTCCATGATAACAGAAAGCTGGATCTTCCAAGACTGTGGTATTTAGGAAAAAAAAGGGGGGGAAAAAAAAAAAAAGCAAAGTTGGTGTTATCAGTGTTTCGCATTCAGCATCTGTCTCACACACTCTCTGAGGATTATGCTAAATGTCATGTAATTAATTATGGAAAAAATGCCCTGCAAGGCCTAGGGAAAAGCCACCAAATTTGCAAGACAGATGCTTTCCCTTAGAGTTAACACCAAGGGCCTCCACCAATTCCATCACTGTTGCACATAGATAAGTCTGTTTCTCTGGTGTTCAAAAATGTAGTGCAGTAGCACAACGAGAGTATGTGCATGGTCAAAACCAAGGAGTCCACTAGCACAAGCACGTGTGTTACCACGGGAGAAACCGACAACATCCCAAAGACCCCATTGTTTTTTTCTAGTGTGCAATTGCCAGTGCTCCCAGGTAAAAAAGAAAAAAAAAGCAAATGGTGCCATGCATCGTACGGGGCTGTGCTCTTTTTCCCCAAGCACCCACAGCGATCAGCAGAAGCCTGGTGTGTAACTCTCTTTGTATCTTTATGACCTGCTTAGGGTAGTCATAAATGTTATTCATTCCCATAAAACAACTTTCTAGCTGGCTGCATCAGTAACTGGCATCTGATCCTGGCAACACAACTGCTTTAACACATATTTCCTTCTCTCCTTGTTAAATGTGTTGCCTTTCAGTTTCATCCTAAGCCATCTTGGTTAGCTTGGCTTATTAGCAGACACATTTCTGGGCGCATTTCGCTTTATTACTGTAACATCCAGGTCCTTTAGAAGTTAAATGAGATGGAAATGGAGCTAAAATTGAGCCCTCACCAAGATCGGGGGGTATTAGCTCTGATCTCCGGTTTTCAGGAAAACACATCTATATTCCACCAGCTCCCTCAAGGCTGGCTTCAACCAGCTGCTGTGTATGTTGGAGCTCTCTCCGGGCTGCGTGTAACTGCTAACCCCAACCACGCTTCCAGCAGGGAAAAGCTACGATCCTTGCTAGGGCTGCGTAGGTCTGCAGTGACAAATTCCCAGGCGGCTGGAGTTTGGCATTGCTGGCACTAGATAATCAGTGGCAAACTTGGAAGGGAAACCGCCACTCTCTAGCTATGTAAATATATACATCATACATATATTTAAAGAGTCTATTAAATATATAGTGAACAGAAGTTTTGGCTGATGAATTTCAAGGGAAAGGAAAAAGTGGAGTATTTAATTGTTTGAAATTATGCCCCGTTGTTCATCTCTGTCCCTTGCACACTGTTGCCCATGCAACACTCTCTGTCTGGAGAGGGGCACCTCCAGAAGGCAACTCACCCTGCCTTAGATGTGAACCAAGGCTGGACCTGAGCTGGTGGAGACAAAACCTGTTGGTGATGTTCTGGGTGCTCATGTATCTCAGATATATCACATCCTTGAAGGTAGAGGCATGAGACTTGGGACAGTATGAATGTCCCCTGACTGCAAACCTCTACAGTGTGGACCTCATGGTGGTCCTTCACGGTCCTTCTTCAGCCCATAGAAAGAAAAAGCCACATCCATCGAGGGAGTAATTAGCCTGATGTGCTTTTAAGATCTACAGTAGGATAAGATGACTCATGCCCTAGAAAGCTCTGGCTATAGAGGGAACCCAGGTACCGAGCTTAGATGCAGACATCTGGACTGTATAAGCACAGAGCTGGGTGAGATGAGTCCAACCCCTAGCACTTGGCACCAGAAACCTGTGAAAACTTATCCCAGAAAGCCTATCAGCAAGTCTCAGGAACAGGCTGAAATACAAATCAGGCAAGAGGCCAAAGCAGCTCGTCACTAATAGAGTAAAAATGATAAATACTCCAGCACAGCATGTCCCAGCAGCAAAATAAGCAAGCAGGGTGAGGCAGATGAAACGAGAGAGCTTCACAGCCTGAGCTTCAGGAAAATGAGGAAAGCTCCAGGTCTCCAAGAAATGCTGTACTATGGAGCACTAGCACAGTTTTCTAATCAGAGGTGACGAGTGACACTTTAGAGACCTTGGGATGTTTCACCCAGCCCTCCAGAAGGATGCAAATATCTCCCAGGTCCTGCACCACATTTTCTAATCCTGTATAGAGGTCTTTGGCATCTTTAAAGGACCTGGAAACCTACACTGAGGCATCTGCACCTCACCATTACAGACAAGTCAAGAACAGCAGAAATAACCACCTACAAGTTGGGATGAGACCTGAATTCAAACTGAAACTCATCCCCCCTGTGAAAAAGGGGATGTGATACAACGAGATCACATCATCACAGATGGTCTGAAATGATCACCATTAGAGAAGCAGATTTATAATGCAACAAGAAAGAAATTCGCTTTGTGGAAGAGGGAAAAATATCTGCCAGACGGTCAAGAGAGGAAGGACTGCGGCCCCAATGGGGAGAACTCAGTAAATGGCAGCAATGGCTGTTTCTCGTCGAATGTGCCGAGCGCCAGGGAGCCCGCCAAGAATAAAAACGCAAGACGCAGGAAGGTGTTTTCTGAACATCTCCCAGGCCTGAACTTCATGCTTTTGCTTGTGAGAACCTATAATTGGAAACATCTCCAAGCGTCGGGAGGAAAAAGTAAAGGGTAATGGAGATGGAAAAGAAAACTCACAGTTACTGGAGTCGCTTGCTGAGACCAAAAAGTGCATTTATAAATCACAGATCAGGAATGTGAGAGGCCTATTAGGTCATCTAGTCCATGCTCCGACAGCCCAGGTTTGCTCAGTCTCTGTCCTACATTCAGAAATGTCTTCTCCACCCTTTGTCGCTTTAAACCCTCCCCATGGAAAGGCACCAACCTTCCCTGCTCCCCAAATTCTGGCAGCGCTAGGAAGGGATGCCCACTGCCTGCAAAGGACTTTGTTGGGGAACAAAGTCCATTTGTGGGGCAGCAGAAGAGAAATCACCTTCCCCCAGAAGACTCTTGTCCATGGTGGGATTTGGTGGTGGGTCTCCATCCCATCTCCACCTAGTCTCCGTTGACCACCAGCACTGGGAGGGGAAACAGCCAGCCTGAATAAAGCAGCCCTCAGGGAAGAGCAACCTTTCATCCTCAATGTGGTAAAAAAAATCCCTGATAAACGTCTGTCTTTGGATTCACACCCTTGATCCAAGAAGCAGCATGTGGGGATTTTACCTGCTGACATCCCATAAATGCTGCTTTTCACTGTTTCCTCCTCCTAACATCATGTTCTCCTCCCTTCAGTCTCCTGCCCCATCCTTCATTCTCCAGAAAGCTGAGGACAACTGAGGGGTGGTTGTTTGTTTTGTTGTGTTTTTTTTATAAATATACATATTTGGCCCGTCCCTTTAAATAAACAGGCCTCAAACCAAACATCTCCTGCTTTATATATAGCATAGCAGGGCTTTCAATTGAAGTTATGGATACTGACAGAAAACCATAAATGTAATTACAGAGGAAATATGATGCATGAATGGATCATGACTTTCGTTTACTCTTTTAATTATCTCAGGCAGTTAATAAATTCATTTGAAAACATGAATGCTCTACAGTGTTAGGTCCTTTGAGAGGTATGGGCCCATTCCTGCAGATCTGGGCTCCATGAGAAGACTATTCATAGGAGCAGCAGCTTGGGAGAAGTACCTTCAGATCTGAGCAGACATCAATGAAAGCCACACACGGTTTGGTTTACAAAGACCGCTGTGCATAGGACACTGCTTCTGGTCAACCAAAAGGAGAAAAACTCCTTGAATTGAGCAGTGCAGCATTAGTGCCGTTTAAAACACCCTTAAAGGGTGGAAGGGTCTCATCTCTTTCTGATGTGGGCGCTCTCTGGAGGGCATCTCCCCATCATCCCTTGTGTGATGTGACCCAACAAGGTCTCACACAGGGACTGTTGGTGAAACCATGAACTTCTGCTCCAAATTGTCCGCTTTGCGTTCCGTGAAGGCAGTCTCATTTTCCTGCCTATTCTTAAACCCCTTAATCTTCCAGGGATTTGGGCAAAATGAAAAGATTTAGACAAAATTACACGACTGTGGAGAGTGAAGTGTGTGGTAAACTTTAATAAAGAGAAGCAGCAATGGGGGTTTATTTGCATTCAATCTCATTGAAGGTTTTTAGCTGCAGAAACCTCATTTTCTCAGGTTTTCATCTGGAAGAGGCTCACAGGACTGTTACAAACACCTTGTCTAAGCTCCCGGTAGTCAGAGGCAGCCCGTGCCCCTGCCACCCTGCCCTGCATCAGTCCTGGCCTGGGGACCACAAGCTCTGGGAAAGCCACCATGTCCCCTGGTAAACGCTTTGACTGGTTCTGCAAAGCCTTTTCAAACAGAGAAGCAGGATTTATATAGCAAAAAAGAAAAAAAAAAATGAAATAAAGAGGAGGAAGAGGGAGAGGAGTGGGGGGAAAAAAAAAATCCCAACCCTGAAGCAAAAGCTTAAAATAAGAGCTGCTTTCAGATACGGTGCCAAATCCAGCGCTGGCAGCAGTGGGCACAAGGCCATTGACTTCCAGCCCAAACTCGACTGAAGTCGATGCCAGCGGCGAGTTGGCTCACCGAGCACCGAGGAAGGCTGTGGAGCTTTGTCAAGTTTTCCCGAGCTGCCTATGGAGC